AGCGTGCCACGGCGGCCTTCGACCACTGGATGGCGACCGCCCGTCACCTCGAAACAGGCGTGATCGACCAGTTCGGGCCGCACCCAGCCGCCCTCGACCGCGCGTTCGGCGAGGGCCAATCGCTACGTCAAGGCTGGCCAGCGCGCGTCGGCCGTCGCCGCGATGATTTCGCGCGGGCCAGCGCGGCGGCGGTCAGCTCCCAGATGCGCGGCCTCGGCGGCGAGCGCATGGGCGCTGGCCTGTGCCACCTTGCTGGCGACCTCGTGCAGTTCGGGGTGCCAGCGGACCACGCTCTGCCAGCGTCTGGCGATGGTGAAACCCGAATCCGGCTTCATCAGCGCATCGGCCGAGCGCGCGGGCACCTCGACATGATAGCCGAGCACGCCATTTATGGCGGATCTTCAGCGCGGTGATACCGGTCTTTTGACGGAACCCCGGCCTCCAGCGGCGATGGCGCGGCGTCCGCCCGCGCCCGCATCGCGCAGATCGAGCGCCACGTCATAGCCCGCCGCGATATAGCCCCCCTGCCTGCCCGATCGGGGTGAAGGAACCAGCGCGGCGGAGCAGGTCGATCAGTTCGCCATGCCCGCGCAGGCGGGGCGTCGTCTCGCGCAGCAAAGGCGGGCCATCGGCCAGTTGCTCGACAGCGCGTCCAAGTCCCCGTCGAGCCCGTCGCGCAACTGCCCCAGATCAGGGGAGAGCCGCCCCGCCGCGATCCGCCCGATGGCGCGACCGATGTCGGGAGCGCCTGCGCAGTGCCGCGCGCGATCGCTCGCGAAGCGCGGGCATCGTCATGGAAATGCTGCACCAGATCGAGCCGCGCTCGATCGCATCGCGGTCCATCAGTGGCGCACCGATGTCGCCCCTGCCAGCGCGCGCCCGCCCGCCCCTCGTCACCGTGCGGTCCACCGCATCGAGCAACGAACCCTTGCGCTGGCTGCTCGCGGTCTGGGTCAGCCTGTGCGCGCGTCGCTGCGTCGATCGCCATCGCACCAGCGGCTTGGCAGCGACCGGCGGGCGCAGGAAGGGCAGGGCACCCTTGGCGGTATGATCAAGATAGGCGACCAAACCGCCGGCCGCCGACAGACCTGCCTGGCTGAACTGGCTGAACCTGTCCAGCGTCGCGACGCCGTACAGCCGCTTCAGCCGGTCCTCGCCGCCGCCACCGTCGAAGGTCGCAGAGGGGCGCAATGCCGTCGCCGCTTCGGCATGGGCGGCATTCTCGGCGGTCCCCGGCGGCGCGGCGCGGGCGGGCGAGTTCGGCCTCAGCGCGTCGGCCTTCATCGATCACCACGAACCGCCCGGTCGAGATATCCGCTGCTGCCAGTGCCACCGCGCCGCCCGCCCGCCGATCGCGACGCACCAGTTGTCGGACTTGGCGTCGAGCAGCGCCTTCGGTCAGCGCGTGCCCGCCGTCACCACCCGCACGATCCCGCGTGATACAGCGCCTTTGAGCCGTTGCGCGCTTTGGCCTCGGCTGGCGTCTCGGTCTGTTCGGCGATGGCGACGGTGCCCGGCCTTGATGAGGCGCTGGAGATAGGCGGTCGCGGCATGGACGGCACGCCGCACATCGGAATCTTCTCGCCGCCATGCTCCCCGCGCGAGGTCAATGCGATGTCGAGCACGCCCGATGCGATGCGCATCGTCGAAGAACAGTTCGAAGAAATCGCCCATCCGGTAGAAGAGCAGGCAATCTTTGGCCCGGCCTTCAGCGTCAGATATTGCGCCATCATCGGGGTATGGCTCGCCGGGGCTTTTCAATCGTCGGAAAGTTGGGCGGCGCGAATGCCGGAGGATCAGACGGTCTCGCGTCATGCTCATAGCGCAGGACATAGGGCGAACCGAAACACCATCTCGCGGCGGCTATGGAAATGGGCCTGCCGGCGATCCGGAATTGCCGCAAGGATTCGGCGACGTCGATCAGCCTGTCACCTGCGCTGGGCGGCGTCGGGATCGAACTGCTCTATATAATCGACGATCGCGGCGAGTTGGAGCGAGGCCTGAACCGACCAGCTTATTTGAGCCGCCCATTCTGGGGCAGGGGGCTTGCGATCGGGGTGCCCTGTGTCTTCAGCCATTCGGCCATCTTCTCATGGCTTACGAAACGGCCCACCTTGAAAATGGCCCGTGCGCGTTCATCGGCGGCCAGTTCCGCCGCCCCGTCACGCTGCTCGAAAATGCCGGCCTCATGCTCCATAGCGCAACTTATACGGCTGATGGGCTCGGCTTGCCTAGGGCGGGCAAAACCCCCGCGTGACAGGGTTGTCAGCCGTGCGCGAAAGAGCCGTAGCGTCCTTTGTATTCACAGGCATCGAAGGCCGCGCGCGCATGTCCGACGAACCGACCGACCAGTTCTCCGAGCGCGAGGCCCTGTTGTTCCATTCCCGAGGGACGGCCCGGCAAGATCGAGATCATCGCGTCCAAGCTGATGGATGACGCAGCGCGATCTGGCGCTCGCTTTGATTCGCCCGGCGTCGCGGTGCCGGTGCTGGCCATCGCCGACGATCCCGCCATGGCGTACGACTATACCGCCATGGGGCAATCTGGTCGCGGTCATCTCCAACGGCACCGCGATCCCGGGTCAGGCAATCTCGGCGCGCTGGCGTCCTGCCGGTGATGGAGGCAAGGCGTGCTCTTCAAGCGCTTCGCCGATGTCGACCCTCGATCGATATCGAGTTGAAGACCGAGGATGTCGATCGGATGATCGACGCGATCGAGCTGATGGAGCCAAGCTTCGGCGGCATCAACTTGAAGACATCAAGGCGCCCGAATGCTTCATCATCGAGCAGACGCTGCGTGAGCGGATGAACATCCCGGTCTTCCATGACGACCAGCATGGCACCGCGATCATCTGCGCGGCGGTCTCATCAATGCCTGTCTGCCGGACCAAGCGGCGGCTGACGAGATCGTCGTGGTCAACGGCGCCGCGGCGGCGATCGCCTGCACCGAGCTGATGAAGGCGATGGGCGTCCGGCACGAAAACGTCATCATGCGACCGCACTGGCGTGATCTATCAGGGCCGCGGAGGAGTATCAACCAGTGGCAGTCGGCCCACGCCGCCGTTACGACCGCCGCACCCTGACCGAGGTGCTGTCGGTGCGGACGTGTTCGCTGTCGGCGGCGGGTGCGCTGGAAGCCCGAGATGGTCAAGGATATGGCGCCGTCGCCGATCATCTTCGCGATGGTCAATCCGGAGCCGGAAATCGCCCCGAACTCGCTAAGGCCGCGCGCCCCTGACGCGATCGTCGACGGCCGGTCGGACTATCCGAACCAGTCAATAACGTCATCGGCTTCCCTTCATCTTCCGCGGTGCGCCTGATGCGCGCGACCGGGATCAATGACGATGAAGATCGCCGCCGCCAATGCGATCGCCCGAACTGGCGCGCCAGCGCGTGCCGAGGAAGTGGCGCTGGCGTACGGCACGCAGCACACATTCGGGCCCGAATATATCATTCCCGCCCCTTCTGGACCCAGCGCCTGATGGAGCGGGCCCCGGCCGTGGCCAAGGCGGCGATGGATCTGGTGTGGCGACGCGCCCCGATCCTCGACATGGACGCCTATCGCCAGAAGCTGCGCGCGCGCCCTGAATCCGACCACCTGGTGCTGACGCTCGCCTATGAAGGCGCGCGTGCACCCGAAGGCGTGCTGTTTCGCCGAGGGCGAAGAGGAAGTCGTGCCAGCGCGCCGCCATCGCCTTCAAGGAAGGGGGGCTGGCACGCCGAAAAGGGTCGGCCGCGACGATGCGTTCGGCGACCGGGTTGAAGGGGCGCTGCGTCACCAATCCGCAGGAATATGGGTCCATAACAGCCGCACTCGGAGCGGTGCCCAGATGGTGGACTTCCTCTACGAGCGGCTGCAGCGGCGCGGCTATCTCAAGCGTGATGCCGAGCGACTGATCAACCAGACCGCAAATCTTCGGCTCGGTAATGCTGTAACTGGGGCAGGCCGATGCGATGATCACTGGCATCACCCGCACCTATGCGCAAAGCTTCCGCGAGATCCGCCGGGTCATCGATGGGTCGATGGCAAGGTGCCGTTCGGCATCCATCTGCTTGTCGGGCAGAGCCACACGGCTCTTCATCGCCGACACCACGGTCAACGAGCGTCCTCGGCGAGGAACTGGCCGACATCGCCGAGCGCACTGCCGCCCGTCGCCCGCCGCATGGGGCATGAGCCGCGTGTGGCGTTCCTGTCCTACTCCACCTTCGGCAATCCTGAAGGCCAGTGGATCGACAATGTCTGCGACGGCGTGGCTGCGCTCGGACAAGCGCGGCAGGTCGGCTTTTCGAATATGAAGGCGACATGGCCCCCGACGTCGCGCTGAACCCCAAGCAGATGGCGAACTTCCCCTTCTCGCGCCTGTCGGGGCCGGCGAACGTCCCTCATCATGCCGGGGGGGGCTTCAGTCGGCCAATATCTCGGCTGCAGCTGCGAGCTGGCGGTGACAGTACGATCGGGCCGATGCTGATCGGCATGGAAAAATGGCAGATCGCACCGATGACCCCGACCGCCGGCGACGGTGACGCTGGCGGTGCTGGCGGCGGCGGTATCGCGCGCTGATTTCGGCTGATTAGAGGGGGCTGGCAGCATCAGGCTGTCCGGCCCTTTTTCATTCCCTCCCTGCAAGGAAGGCGCGCGCAGCGAAGGGCATACTCTGCGAAAGCCCCCCCGTCCGTTGGGGCGTCGCCCTGCCACCGCCCTGTGCTGGGAAGGATCGTGTCCCAAAGCCACAACACTACGCCGTCACAATCCGGTCATTACGCTGTCGCCACGGTGTCATGCGTGCTGGCCCCATGCCCGGCCCATTGGGTTAACGAGCCATTTAGCCGTTTATGGTGAAGTTTGATCGGTGTCGCGCCGCTCGCACTGATCGCATCCGGCGCGTCGGCGCAGACCCTGCCGGCGCAGGTCGCCGTCACGGGGGCCGCGGAATGATCCTGCCCACCGATCCTGCCTGACCGATCCCGCCCTGACCGACGCGGACTGTGCAACGCCTGGCGATGTCGTCGTGTTGGGCTTCGGCCAGAGCCGCTGTGTCCAGATACAGTTACCGCTGCCGATCTCGACCGGTTGACCTCGGCACCTCGCCACCAAGGCGATCTCCAAGCTGCCCGGCGTCAATTTCCAGTCCGCCGATCCCTTCGGCGCCTATGAATGGTCGACCGCATCAGCCTGCGCGGGTTCAGCCAGAACCAGCTCGGTTTTTGCGCCTGACGGCGCGTGCCGCTCGGTGATAAGGAGCTATGGCCCGACCAACGGCCTGCACATCAGCCGCGCGATTATCTCCGGAGAATATCGCCTGACCAGCGTGGCGCAGGGTGCCGGCGCGCTGGGCACCGCCCGACCAGCAATCTGGGCGGTACCATCCAGTTCACCAGCCGCGCGCGCCGTCCGACACCGCGGGCATCGCCGCCGGGCAATTTGGCAGCAACGATACCGTCCGCGCCTTCGTCCGCGTTGACAGCGGTGATCTGGGCGGGGTTGAAGGGGCTATCTGAGCTGGCGGCTATCTCACCACCGACAAGTGGAAGGGCTTCGCCTGCAGCGCCAGCATCAGGCCAATGCCAAGATCGTCAAGGATTTCGGCGATCGCGGTTCGATCACCGGTTTCTTCAACTTCTCCGACCGGCGAGAACGACTATCAGACCTGAGCCTCGATATCATCAAGCGGCGCGGCTATTATAACGACACAATATCAGCAACGATTATCCGCTGGCCGTTCGCCCGCCAAGATCGCCAACAACCAATATGCCGCCGCCGCCCTATCAGCAGGCCAATGGGTCGCTAAACGTTTTCGGCGCTTTATGCGGGCGGGCTTGTCCTTCCCAGAATGTGACGCTGGACGACGGCTATTATGACGCCGCCGGTTTGCGCCGCGATTATCTGGGCGGGATCATCTTGATGCTGTTGACCGACAATCTGTCGCTGACCTCGACCAGCTACTATCATCACAACAAGGGGCAGGGATCGTGGATCACCCCCATACCGCGACCACGGTCGGCGCCCCCAATGCCGATGCATACGCCGATCACCAATCCGGCACCGCTGTCGTTCCGCACGACCGAATATAGCTCGACCGGGCTGGCACCATCGCTAAGCTGGCCCCTGACCACTGGCATCAACAAGCTGGAGCTGACTGGCTGGTATGAGAGCAACACGCCCACACCAAAGCGCTGCCTCTATGGCATGACTGACACCGCGACGCCCAATCGCAACGCGCTGGATTACCAGAGCAATCCGATGGCGACCGTGTGGAACGGCAAATATGATACCGAGACGCTGCAATATCTGGATCGGCGACACGGTCGATATCGGCCAGTTGACGCTCAACGGCGGTGGAAGGGCGTGCGTGTCCGCAACCAGCCAATGTGCTGGCGGCTCACTAGCGCGGGCAAGATTCAGAGCGAGGACTGGTTCCTGCCGCAGGTCGGCGCGGTGCTCCACCCGGGCAACTGTGCGGAAATCTTCGCATATACCGAGAATATGCGCGCCTTCATCGCCGCCGCGCGACCGCGCCGCCCTTCTCGATCACCTGTGTGGCGTTCAACAGCGTGGCCAACACCGTGCGCCCTGAAAAGTCGAAGACGGCCGAGGGCGGCGTGCGCGTACGTGCTGGCGGTCTAAAGCTACCGGCGGTCGGTTATTATATCGACTTCTCCGACCGTCTGTTGACCTATTGATCGGCACCGCGATCTGTGGCATTCCGCCGACGCTGAACAATGTCGGCGGCGTGGAAAGCTTGCGGCGCGGAACTGTCCGCCTTCTACCGCGTGACCTGGCCTTGTCGGCGCTGGCCAGCTATTCCTACAACCATGCGACCTCATCAGCAGATTTGGTGCGCGACGGTCAGGGGCAATCTGCTTCCGAAAAAGGCCGCTATGTGGTCGGCCAGCCCGCAGGACATGGTAAAGGGCGAACTGGTCTGGCGACGACAGCCGCGTCTTCGGTCGGGTCGGTGCCGATTATATGTCGAAGCGCTACTACACCTATCTGAACGATTCAGTCGGTCGACGGGCGCTGGTCGACGCCAGTATCGGCTATCGCTTCCGGCGGAATGGGGCGGCTTTCGATCGAGGGCAGCGACCAACCCGACTGACAAGCGTTATATCGCGACGGTCGGCACCGGTGGCTTCGTCGCCAGCGATCCG